AGGAGGAGCAGGAGGAGCAGGAGGAGAAGGAGGAGAAGCGGGAGCAACAACCGCAGCAGCAGCAGCAGGAGCAGTTCACGCTCAAGCAAGCGGTTCTGGATCAGGTCTCCGTGAATGCTGCCGGCCGTCCTTTTGGACTGAGGCCACCGTTGCTGCCCCTCGGAATTGTTTGCGATTCATTTGGAGGTTGGGGCTCTTGCTCTCCAGACTTTGAGGTTGGCAATTCTTTTGTGCAGATTGGCATCCATGGGAGAATGATCCCACTGCAGACCGTGCTGCCCAGGACCGGGGTCCTCGAGTTTCCAGCGGCACCCGCCGAGACCAACCAGGCTTCGGGCATTCGGTTAGTTCTTTCAATTGCGGTACCGCCACGCGCAATATTGAATCGTTGTTTCTGCTGTTAGAGTCATTGGTGTTGAAGTTTCGAGGAATCGAAGGAAGCAGGCGTTCATGAAGAGCGCACGTGTAGTGCAGAGCTTTCAAGCGTCAGGTTTATGCGCCACCACCAAGAGCCTGGAACTGAGCTCAAAGGGTGGAGGTTTGATTTCACGCTTCTTTGGCTTGAGAGATTTGATCTCCCACTTGCGGCTTCGTATTGTCGGCATTCTGGCGGTAGAGCTTGTTAAGGCAGTTGCTTCGCACTGTTGCTAGCCGATGCGCTGTTGGGCTTGCGAAGATTCGAAAGGTGGCCATGGTAACGAGCATGCCAGCGCGTCGGCGGTGGCGTCGGCATGTTTGTTTCTTGTGAGATTGCTTGAGGAGGAACGAAGCAGGTGCATTTCAGCGACTTGCTTGCACTGCACTCGTATGCTACACTGTCTTCCTTTGAGGCAGGCACCATGGCCATACCATGCCCTGTCTCCTGGTTTCTGTACCACGTCCTTCCCGAAGCCTGGTGAGACCTGAGCCTTGCGGCCCCAGCTGGCAGGGCGTACTGGGTGCCTGGGTCGATGAGGCCCAGCCACTGCTAGGGCTGCTAGGGAAACTCAAGGATCCTGGACGAGAGCTTTGGATCTCGGCCTGAGTCTTGAGCATACATCCTTTGCGCTCATACCTCGAGCCAAATCTGCTGCCTGCAGAGAGAGGGCGTAGGCATCTTCTCCCGGAGGAGTTGAAGTACCTTGTTTTTCCACGGTAGGTCGCGACCATCGTGGGGCTGGAGTGCTACTCAGCCTCCAGCCTGGAAGACAGTAAGCACCGTGAAGCGAAGCACCACAAGTCCTTTTGTGCCAGGCTTTTGGAAGAGCAGACCCGGGAAGATGCTTGAATCCCAGCTCGCCCCCTTCAGGGTGTCGCCTTGCATGTCGCCTGCGGTGCCTTCACCGATTCCTACGCCGGATCCTTGGGCAATGGCCAGATTGCGCAACATGCTTTTGGCGTCCGTCTTGTAATTCGGATGCTTGGGAAGAGAGGTTTAGCTCGGCACATTTCAATAATCAGGGCGAGGACTTGAAGGCATGAAAGACTCCACCCCCGAGAGGGATAGAGAATAGAGAGCCAATTTGGAGCAATCTGCACACTGACTCCTTCAAATGCAATTTCATGAGCAACAGGAGTTCAGGATTGGAAAGGCTGCCAGGCATCCACCAAAGATGGCTCGACAGCTGCTCCAGGTTGAAAGCTCATGTCAATGTCACAATGACCGATGACAGCAACAGTACCATGAGCCCTGCCTACGCTTCAGGGCGTCTAGCACGAAAGCTTTGCTATGCGACTGTAAACCAGGGTAACATGTAGCAAAGCTGCTTGGAACACAAGCTTCCCGGGCAGTGACCTCAGCAGAACAGATGCCACTTGATACGGCCTCCGTAGAACAACACTGTAATAAAGCAGTTTGAATATTGCTTCCTGCCTTGCCAGCGCAGAGAAGCCGAACCTGATCGTGTTGGAGCCATGCGGCTGCTTCTGGCTGCGTGGCTCTTTCTGGGGCCTGACTCCGGGCCAAGCAATAATCGGGTTTGGGGTTCCGTTGATTGCAACTTCTGTTTCGGAGACTTTGATAGAATTGCTTTCAAACCACGAAGCGTGCTCCTCACAAGACCTGGCGTAAGACCTTGACAGTTGGCACAAAGGGTGCGACCGCTCTCGCAGATGTGCGGCCGTCTTATCAAATTGATGAAGTCAAAGTTTCAGACGGCTGCAGACCTGGTGGAGTAAATGAATGAATAAATCAACAAACATATTATCGCCTACATTACATACACACATGTATAGTTATGTGTATATGTATATATATATACACACACCTATGAGCATTCATCTAAAGGTCCTTGTCTTCAGTTTTACATAAAAACGATGCTTAGATGTTAATGTTCAAGAATGTGCCGGTGGTTCCGCGAAAGGCATCAAAACCCAGCGAATGGGCCTTCCAGAACAGACTTGTGGTACATAAAGCTTTTAGTGAGCGTGCGGCACCTGACTTTGCAATGCCACAGCAGGCGCCAGCGAGGTGCCAAAATCAGGGCCCGCTACAGCGAATACCGCGAAAGTTCTGCGTAAGCGTGTTCAGTTGAAGTAGCCAGATCCAGGCAAGGGCTCGTTGCATGTGTGCGCTATTCACTACTCTCCTGCTGCTGCTACTACTACTACTAATAATAATAATAACAATAATAATACTAATAATACTAATAATAATACTGCCGCCACCGCCACCGCCAGGCCACCGCCACCCCCCCCACCACCACCACCACCGCCGCCACCACCACCACCGCCACCACCACCACCACCACCACCACCACCAGTGACGACGACGACAACGACGACGAAAAGACGAAAAATACTACCCGGTTACTACCCCTTCTCCTACTACACTGGTACTACTGCTGCTACTGCCGCTGCCACTGCCACTTCGACTATTCTACTGCTACTCCTCCTCCTACTCCTCGTCCTACTGCTGCTACTACTACAACTACAACTACAGCTACTACTGCTACTCCTCCTCCTGCTGCTGCTACTACTACTATCACTCCTCCTCCTCCTCATCCTGCTGCTACTGCTGCAGCCATTACAAAAACTGTTTTGCATATACCCACATTGTATATATGTATGTGTACAAACTTGCGCATGCTTTTACGTGCGTATATACATAAATGTATGTATGTATGTATGTATGTATGTATGTATGTATGTATGTATGTATGCTATCTCAACCGGCAGCGAGATCCGTGGACATTCAAGTTGTTTTCCCTGGTTTCAAGCCGTGATAACACAGCTCTGCCGACCAATGTTCGTCACAGTTCAAGTTCCAGCTGCGCATCCTAGACGTCTTTCGCCCCAACAACGGCGACATAGCCATGTCAATGCCCACCGGAAAATGGTTCAAACCAAACTCATCATTGCAGCCTACGTAATAGCCTGTCGCCTGTTGATCAGATGCAAGTGCCTGAGGAGATGGCCCTTGGCTTCGTTCAGCCTCAGCCTGTTGCGCAGCATCTCGTGCCAGCTCCATTTGCTGCTTTGCTCTGGTAAGTGTTTCGTGAGTTCGGAGTAGCTGCGTACCTTTTGCTGGGATGCATTGCACATGTCGATTCAGTGAGCGAATGGCATGGTTAATTAGCAGCGTGTACGTGCAATCGGTGGGTTTTCCGGATCCAATTGCAACACTAGTCGAGCCGCACGTTGCACACACATCGAATCTCGACCTCCTTTAGTCTCAGGCAGAACGAACCGCTGCGAAGAGTGTTGCAGTGTGCTTTCAGGCACCCCAGAAGCGAACCGCGGTGGTTCGGCATTCTGGTGACTTCATAAAGGACTGCAAGCGGCGTACCAGCGGTGTCGATAGCGAATGTCCGTAGCCAGCTACCTGTTGTGCAGATTCTGCGATTTGAAAGGAGCCCGCTGTGAATCTTGGTCGAGCCTACGGCGTTTTTGGGGTTCTGTGCCCTGTCTGCTGATTCAGCTTATATATTTCGTTGGTGGTTCATGGTGGTTCTGCGGGGATCCATGACTGTCTACTTCGCACCGTAGCAGCCGTTCTTATGCGCAGGTTTTTTCACTGTCGGGGGTGAGATGTTCGGAGAGCATTCGCTCTTCGCAGTGTCTGCATCCATAAACTTAGCATTGAGCCCTGTTTTGAGATGCACTGGGCCTAGAACTAGCACAGGCTCACAGGTCTCATGTAGTTCGAATTACGATAGTTAGGAAATGAATCTAAAACTGACAATGCGACGCCAGGTCAGTCCTTACACTAAATCTGGCGCCCTTCGACCAGGTCCCTGGTCGCCTGGACCGCTACAGCTGTGGTCGCGCTTTCTTCGCATCCAAAGCGCGGATAGGGAAGCAGGGTTCGGCAAATCTCTGATGTCGATGTTGCTGACTTACATGTGCTTGAGTGTAACGATGTATGCAGGATAACCCCAAATTGTGCAAACCATGTTACAAAAAAACTATAGCCTATAGCCCTGTCACTACAGTCTCGGTTATCCGGTTCTGAATATTCGGCGCAGTCGCAGGCTTCGGCTGCCCATGCGCCACAATGCCCTGACCATCGCACAGGCACGGCTTGCAGTCGCTGGAAGTCATAAATCTGGAAGCTTTGCAGATGCACAGCATCGCGGAATTCGGGCGTTTCAATTCGAGGTTGGGTTGTGCCACTTCATCAAGTCTTTGAAAAACGGCCCACCGATCCTCCTGGGCCGGAAGTTATGCTGGTCGACGAAAGACCACCACAGAAGTGTTTGTTTGCAGGTCGAGTCTCGAGTGTTGTTTGTGTTCAATATTGCTTGAGCTTTGTTGGTTCTGGGGAAGTGGACTCGTAAAAAGTCTTGCGCTCCCAGTAGGTGTTTCCGTAGCACCTGTAGCCAGGCATTGGCGCAGCTTCCCGTGGGAGCCTCCGTCTTTCTCTCACTGATGCGCTCCGCCAGTGCCCTGGCCTGTGGCCAAATCTTCGCTTGCGCCCCCCCCTGAACAAGCGAGCTCTGGAAGCAGCTATTCCGAAAGCCAAGCAAGAAGAATGCAAGGCAAGGAGGGCTGGTGGGCCATGAACAGGAGCGGCTGTAGGGCTTGCCGAGTCTGCCCGAGATTCGGCTTTAGGCTTCTCCGTTTCCTCGGTTAATTATGTTGAGCAATCCTGCATGTAGCCGTGTCCTTCGCTTCACGAACTCGGCATTGTTGATTCCTGATCAATCGGGCTTCTCCACTCCGAGTCGCACAGAGCCCTCGCAAATCCTCTTCAGTGTTCATCGCAGGATGACGTATCGGCGGCTAAATCTGGCCCTCGCGTTCGTCTCGCTTCTGGGCGGATGTCTAACTGTAGGACCGCACCAGGCTCAAGCAGATGTTAACGTTGCTCATGCCAAAGTCTCCAAAGTGCAGGCTCAAGGCTTAGGATTCTGGGTTCTACAACGCTGGTCCTGCAGTGCACTCGCAAAGATTGCTAGATTCTGGGGAAGGACTGACCCGAAATCTAAACCCGTGATTGGTGAACCCCCGTTGATAGGTATGCTAGTACACCAAGCCCCTCAATCAGGGTACTACATGTTGATACTCTAAACGCCACCTCCCTGCACCGAAGAGCCTCAAACCGGGAAGGATCTCTCGCAGACTATCATCTTGCAGCCACAGAGCATATGCCCGGCGAAGGAAAGAAAGCAGCCGGAAGCCGGAAGCATGTTTCATGTCGCCTCCACAGGTTTTGGCTTGCAGCAGCGGCCTGGTTCGCGCCGTCCTTCGCCGTGGGCTCTTGGGGCAGCAGAGGGCCAGCAAGAGGCTGAGGGAACATGTAATACCGTTGGCCGGAAGTGCAGAAAGCCATTCGCTGTGCAAACAAGCTGTTGGGAGCCGAATGCTGCCTACCATGCAGAAGTCCAGCACTTCATGAGATTTGGGGAAGCGGATCGTACGTGAACTGGATTCGTTTTGAAGCACTGCTTAGGATATCGGATGTACTCCACGACTTTTGCTGCACTGATCGCCACGACGCATCTCTCAGCTGGGCTGTTCTGCCTCTTCGTGTGCCTCGACTTGGCTTTTTGTTGGGCAGCATGTTTAGCCTGAGGGGCTGCTTGGCTTAGGGAGCTTGCGGTCCCGGCTTAGCTGCGTCTCGCTCTGTGTCTCTGCCAAGATGGCTTCGTGCTGTGACTCCGTCACCTCCGCCTCTGCGAGGCCGAGGACTCAGAAAATCCAGGAGCCCGCTCCGGCATAGACTTCTTTCGGGTTTGAACTCACTGCCACTTGCCCAGGGCAGCGGTGCGGAGTTGCAGGGCTGCGACCGAGTAAGACGCATGATGCGTGGCCTGCGACACTCTGATCATCTCTGATCGGCCTTAAGTGGGCAGCCTATATAGTGCCTGCAGCCTACGTCTTCTTATCGCTGACATGCTTGCAGAGGTCAGTACTTGCCGCGCCTTCTCCGTGGAGCTCCTGCCTCAAATGGGGGGGGGGGGTGCGGGAGCCGACGGCTGTATACGTTTGATAGCTCGTGGCACCCGGTCCGCAACGCAGAGGCCCCTGCGACACCACAGCTGCCCTTTCCAGTGCCTCAATGTCCCAACGCACTCATGCTTCAGTCCAGGTGGTGGGATCTTTCTGGGCCTTGATCCCGCAGACGAGTGAGACAAGCTCTATCTCTGCCAACGGCCACTCGGAGCCCGTCAACGACGATGTTTGCGGAAGATCTTTTCAATCTTTTCGTCAGGTTTGGCATTTGGGATCGGTCGTCGTAGGCCCGAACGATTTGGGTCGGTTGGCTTGCGAATGTCGAAGCTAACGAGTGTTCGCAAGAAAGCTCTACTGGCTGCCTACCACTCCAGAACCTAGGGTTTTGCCTTTGGTGCTGTGCTCAAGGTCAGTACTGTCGGATCGCGGAGTCGCATAAAGAAGCCTGACGGATCCTTCAAGTCGTTGTTCCATAGGCCGGACCAAGTGCATCCTCTAAACCCGGAGCAGCCAGAATCGTGCTCTGATCCTGCCAAGGCAGCGCCAGCCATTTAGATGACCCTGAAAGTATGGCTGGAGGCCGAGACCGGGAGGTTGAGTTCGAAAGGCCGTGTGTGAAGCTTATAAAGCCAGCCGCCACAGCTGCTTGACAGCGGCCCGTTGTCACTTCAGTGCCTGCGAACGTTGTAGTAGCCCGGATTCGTATTCACGGAGTTTCATCAGTTCTTTCATTAGCCAAGATGTTTAGCCGGTAGTAGCAGGAAGTTCGTAGCCCAACACCAACAACAGTAGTGCTAGAAAGCCTTTGAGGAGATGGCCGGAACGAGTATGCCTTTGCCAGCCTTCTGCTCCTCGGTTCACGCAAATCTGCAGCTAAGGAGCGGCCAAGGGGCCCCTAATTGCCGACATGCGCAAAGGGTTGCTCACCCTTTTTCTTCAAAGCGACTCGTGATCAGAGCCGAAGAACAGCGCAAGCTAAGCACCTCCGACCTCCGCTCCCTGCAATCAGTCGGAATCTGATTACCAGTGAGCTGATGTAGAAGATCTCGAAAGCGCAAGAGCCGCCTCCCGTCGATCTCCCAGGTTCCTCGCCTTTGCCGCACTGCCGATGCTCGTTTCCTTTCCCATGGCCACAGTCCCGAGTATCCTCGGGAAGCGCTTGCCCCTCGGCTGGCCTAGTCGGCCTAGTCATAGTATGCTGAACTGGCACGCTCTGTATCATGGCCTGTCAACAACACAGCAACACAGGGGAGCGAAAGGGACCTTCGCGTTGCCACCGGTAGGATCCGAGAGTTGTGTCTTGACCTTTGAGCGGACACACAGCTATGGCGCAGCGCGCAGACTGACGAAGCCACACCCATATGTTCTAGCAGCTAATCCTAGCACAGGCGGCTGGGCCGCCCGACAATTAAATGCTTGAGGGGCTTAGATCCGAGCCCTTGCCAAGGAGCCGGGCTGCGGTAGCCTGGACCTTCTTGGCGGCCGTCTCTGCTTACGTTCTCAAGGCGCGGGCCGGCGCGGGCGTGGGAGCTCTCAGGCTGCCACCTTTTACGCCCCTGCTGGAGCCAACCGCCCGACTCAAAGGCCTTGAGTTCAAAGCAGCACTCCACGAGTGAGCAGGACGCTACTCAGCGCGGGCGCATCCACAGCGGAACAACCTTTCGTCACCTGGCTGCAGAGTCCGGAGTGCAGCTTGTGCTTCTCGGTCTCCTCGAAGCAGGAACCTCGACTTGGGATGTTGGAGAGAGAGGGAAAGCACGTCAGGATATCTCCGATATGGCCTGATTGGGTCATCGGGCCTGCACCTTCTCTTGGCATCCTGGCAGAAGGCATGAACATTTTGCAAGCAGATCAGGTGGATCAGAAGATGGACCGGCAGACAGATAGATAGATACATACACACACACACAGGGAGACACACAGACTCCGCACGTGTGCGCACACCTCCCTGCACGTGTGTGCACATGCACAGAGGCAGATACAAGCAACAAGCTTGCAGCCAACGTGCATGAGTTGTGTCCGCTGCTGTGCATTTAACCTGGCGCCAGGGCGTGTGAGGATCCAACTCCCAGTCGCATTCGTTCTGTCTGCATTCTGATCTTTCGGACATGCTAAGGTAGCGCTGAAGCTGGCGGGCATCGACGGTGGCCATGCTGGCCTCATCAAGTGTGCTGGCGCTTCTTTTGAGGTTCGCTCGACCTTAGCCATGATATCCTTGTCGGCAGCAACGAATCTTTTTAGTTTTGAAACATCTAGCTTCCATCAGTCGTAAGACATCGTGGATAGGGGCACTGCATAACCCCTTCTAGTTTGCTTAGCCTTTGTATAGTTGAAATACCTGATGCTAGCAGGATCCCTTCACGTCTGCAACGTTTGAGGGTGGATGTTAGCGTGGAAATATAGATGGGATTTGCCTCCACATTTATTGGTTCGCTGGCAGCCCAGGTTTTATCCAGGAGCCTTGTCGTGTCCGAAACTTGCAGCAGCCTCCCTGGTGATGCACATCCTGGTCGTCTTCGCTGCCTTGACGCCGCCTCCGAAGATCCCCAAAAGCACCTCCTCGCCCGCGGCCGTGCCCACCACGGTCACCACTCCGCCTGTGCCACCGGCGCCTGGCCCCGCGGCCCCGGCACCGGCCCCGGCACCAGCCCCATCAGCGCCATCGACCACCGGACCTGCCATGGACCAGCGCGTGGTTTTCAAGGGCTCTCAGGGCACGGTCCGTTTCTTGGGAACCACGCAGTTTGCTCCTGGCGAGTGGGTGGGAGTCGAGATGGACGATGATTCGGGGACCCATGATGGCAGCCTTTTCGGGGTCCGTCTCTCGCTTGCAAGAGCCAGGATTTGTAGGCTTTAGTCCTGTATCTGTCATCCCCATGCAGTTCATACTGTAGATCGTGGATACGTGTAAGAAGTAGATGCGGTTGCATTTGTGACACAGGTTCCCTCACTCCACTTCCACTTGCGCATCCAGCTTTCCTCCTTGTTGCTGTCCTAACACGCATCGTGTGTCATGTTCATGGCAGGTTATTTCTCTTGCCCTCCGGGGCGTGGCATCTTCGCTCGTGCCTCACAGTTGGGATAGTGAGGCAGTTTGACATCGACTCGGGTGGTAAATGAAGCACCATTTGGAGCTGTGGCGGAATAAAGAACTTGGTCGAGTCGATTCAAGCCACTTGAGGTTTTCGAATTTTCCAAGAGCTTTTGAAGGAAGCAGTTCTACGCCAACCCGAGAACTGTGTGCGGGTGTTCTTGGAGTTCTTCTCTGGAGCCATCTCGGCCTGTATCGTTTCCCATAAAAATTCGGGGGAGGGAGCTGGGACTGCTGGCAGGGCCGTGTTTTCTACCAGACTCTACCACCCACAATCGTTGTTGCAAACCTGCAGAACTCATCGCCCGGAGCCTGAGCCTTCGAGTCTCCAATGAATGCCTGACATCCACTTGAGCCGGCAGACCCGAGATTACTATATGGCAATGCCCCTGATGCCCCCCTCCCGTGATGAGTAGGGCATGGTTTCGCCTGCTTGCACACTCGGGCAGTTCCTCCGCGAGACAGCTGTGAAGTTGATAGGAATATACTGAACTTCTCAACTGCCAGTTGTTGCTTTGGCACCGTAGAACGCCCCGGCGGTTGTCTTCGACTTGATGCGAATGAGTACGCATGATGTCTGGATGTTTGGCAGTGGAGGTATTACCAGGTATGGGCAGTGCTAAGGTAGCGATTAACCACAAAGTCCCCGAAAACAGCTGAGCTGTCCGGAGAAGCTGTGCCCGAGCTACGGAAATCGTCAAATGCTTTGTGTGCAGCACCTCATCAGGCATGCAACAGTAAGCTTAAGTCGTCGATCGAGCCGTATTGATGCAAAACATGGTCCTGACCCCTTGTTGACGATTGGGTTCTGCACCAATGTTTGAGATACAGAGCTGCATGCAGGGTGCGTGAATACTTATCGGCATAAATGAAGCTTCACGGTGGGTCTCTGGGATGCACAGGCCTCACGAAGATCAGGCAGGAAGTTGTGGTGCCATGGGAGCCTGAAGACTCAACGTCAGACAACATCTTGTTTGATAATGTTTCACATGCGGAAAGCTGGCCTCATATAAGTACTGGTGTCTACGTGTCACATACTCCTGTGTATAGTATAACGGTGAGTGTAAACATACATGTATCTATCTACATATATATATACACACCCACTTGTATTGTTTATTCATTTATGTTACCGCTAACACTAACTCCCTCCATCGCTCCGACCTGCCTGACTCACTCACTGGCTCGCTCACTCAATCGCTTCTGCTGCCTCAAAGCTTCGGACCGATCTCGAAGCTGCAACCGCGAAGCCGAGCGCCCCGAATTCTCCAAGTCGCCACAGCTCAACCAGCCGCAGTGTTGCCCTTCATGGCACTCCCCTTACACGTGCGACTCGTTTCCCTAAATCTTCGGCTCCGGCCTTCGGCACTGCAGCCCGAACTTAACGGAGCCCAGCGCTCCCTCAAAACTGGCAGAGGTTTCGAGTGTCGTCTGCACGCATTCCCTGCGAAGGTGGGCTGGCCATCAATCGCCTGCACAGGCCTCAGTGGTCAGCAGCAGGTGCATGGAAACGTGGTAGACGTGGGCTCCGGCATTGTCCATAGGTTTCCCCACAGTGTCTTTGCCAGGCTCCGTTCGTAGCGCTATCGGCATCGGCACCGCAGGCGGAAGGGTCCCCCTGCACGCACACACGGAATGAGTTTCGCGGCAGACCTGTGAGAATCTTTAGATATTTCTTTCCGAAATACGATGCATACAGTCAATCGGATCGTCATGTCAGAAAGACGGGTTCTCTGAAATCCGGAAGAATGACTACGAACTGAAGTTAGGCTGTTCTGTACTGCGCATGTCATCTTATACCGATGTCGTCAACTTGTCAAGTGAACGTTTTGATCGGGTTGGAAATTCGATAGCAACTATGGATCTTGACACAGACCATCGTTCAATTTGCTCACTCCGCTGTCCCAATGCCTGAGACGCAACTCAAGCATAAGCCCGCCACTCTGGAGGTGTTGGTTCCTCCACCACAGCCGAAGCTTGGCAAGACAGGTTCTTCGGATTTGGCCATTCGTCAGGGCGACTACCTGATGCAAGCAGCTGCACTCAGCACGAGTAACTGCCGAGAACAACAGGGCATCGTGCATCAAGAAATTCCTGCGGCAGAACAGCAATAAGAAACTCTTCGGACCAACATATATGCGTGTCGTAGCAGTCAGGATCTCCTGCAGGGGACAAAACGGCCTCGTGTTTTCGAGCTGAGCGCCCGCCCCAAAGTGGCCCCAAATCAACAGAGCCTTTGCTGTTGTGCCGAGGACGGCAGAGAGCCAGGCAGCTTTGGGGCTCGTTCTGTAAATTCCTTGCCAGTTGGAAGTGTGGGAACGGCGTGGAGAGCCAATCACATCTATGGCAATCCTCTCTCGCTCTCTCGCTCCCTTTCGTGTCTCTTGGCTTCATCACCTGTAGTCTTCACTTGATTTTAGCTGACTCTGGTGACCATGAGTGCCAAATAACTTTGGCACGCGTGTCAATTCACATGACGCCGTGCGAATGTTGTGTGCCGAACCCTTGTGGCTGACCAAGAAAACTCTATTGTACGGTACTGGTGAATGTAAACATTCGTATTAATATTCATCATTACCATATTCATATTCATAGTCATCGTAGTGATAGCAGCAGTGGTAATAGTAATCGTCCCAGCTATAGATGTAGTGATAGTTACACTTGTACCTATAGTAGTGGTTATATAGATAGTTAGAGTTAGAGTTGCAAACATTATAGTCATGGTCATAGTTATGGTGCAGTGCAGTATAGTATGCTATGCTATACTAAGCCATGTCATGCTATGTGATCCTTTTTCCCATTATGTCGCATCGTATTCGTCAGTCGTTTTTTGCATTGTTGCAAGTGATGGGAATGCGAAAGCGTGAGAAGCTCGCCGCACCGGAGAAACGGGAAAATTGCAAGATTCCACCCTAAACCTACCCCTAATTCACCCATGCTGGGAAAAATTGTAGGGCCTGCAGTATCCCAAGCAGGTGGAGAGGACGATTACCCCGGAGGCCGCGAGGGCGCTTAGGGTTTATGCAGCAAAAGTCGATGCGTCCGATGAGAAGCATCCCATTGCCACCTGCGTAGCGTCTTGGCCATTAATGCTTGGCACGAACTTCTTTTTTCCTGAGCTTGTGGATTTCAACTTCGCAGCATGGACCGAAAGTTGCAGGACCGTAAAGTGATGTGCACCGATTGCAGTAGCAGCCCCCAGCACCGCACAAAAGCAGGCTTCTGCACCGGCCGCAAACACTGCGAGCTGGGCAGAGGCTCGGGATTTGCCAACTTCAGTGTGTTTGGGAGCTGTGTTTGAGGCGGTAGCTAGCATGCACATCAAAGGTCTCCAACCAAGGAATCTCTGCCGCACATTCTTTCTCAGGTGATCTCCGGGCTGCGAAGCGAAGCCGGGGATGGCTACTTTGCCCATCGCCACGTTTACAGATTTGTACCTACAGATTGGCCCCGGCCACTGCAAGCTTTACTTCCGCATGCGATGTCGAGGGACAGGGCGGATGGGGTTTAAGATGCTGAGACTCGCGGCCTGGATGCTCTCTGCCTTGATGCCAGAACGCAAGTCGCGAGGGCCCGATTCCGCGGGAAACTGACACGTATCCCACGGGGCGGAACCCGGCCAGGTTTGCATCATTGGCGGTGCCGAAACGCCAGGCCTGTGGGCCTGTGGGCCCTGGGACCGACGGGGTTGTGACGTAGCAGCGTAGCAGGTCCAGACGGATTTTGAGTTGGCTTTGGGGGTTCAGTGCTACAGGCCAAGTCTATTCGTAACCATCCGGATTCTTCATTGTCTCCACTCCACTGGCTCTCCATGGGACGGTTGCTCGAAGTTCGACGGGCTGATATTCCTCACGTGAGAGCGAAGAAATCTGGAACATGCTGCATCAAGCACTCCAACTCAGGCGCCGGTACAATGAGCCTCTTGTCTTCCCTGGCACAGGACACCTGCCTGACACAAACAGTGATGGGGTGATATTGTTCTGCATGTCATGTGTCTGTGCTCGAGACACGGTGGTGCTGCTGCTATCTTGACACTTCTTTGAATCAGACGTGTTTCGGCGTCACAAGAAGGAAGCTGGCAGTAGGCACGTGTGCATCTTGAGTGCTTTCTTCTGAAAGCCGTTTGAACGACCGCGACCCTCGACAAAAAGCTGGACGACTTTCCCTTGCCCTAATCAGGAACTACATAGCCGTCTCCCACGAAGTGTGGTGCTTTCCCCGGTACGAGGGCATCTGAGCTGATGGGGGTCACGCCGAAGACTTTGGGATTCTCACGTCTCTGTGCAAACATGTCCACCCAACCGCATTATATAAGGGTCGCTGGTCAGTGCCATCGAGGCCGATACTCCCCTCCTGACAAAGTTGCATTCTTTAAGGGATGATTAGTCTTTGGGTGGCTAAGCGGTGCACCCAAAGCGCTACTGGTGTCTTCCGTAAGTAATGGCACTCATTCGAATGTTTAAGCAGTGCCGTCCTCCACACAAGATCTCAACGGCTTGTGACACACAGCATCAGGGAAACATTGGGCCCAGTTCCGGAAGAGGTCATTAAAAACAACGGAACAAGCTTTGAAGCTGTGTGTAAAGATGCGACCATCAAGTACAAGATGCAGTCACCCGAGGTGTTCGTGGTTGGTACCTCTGCGGGTGTCGCAGAGGCACGGTGCTGTGATGTTTAGCCAGCATAGCAGACACATTCGAAGTGATGGAGCATGCCAAACCTAGCTTCTAAAATAAATGGATACTTGAGTCGAAGAACAAGCGACATGTGATTCTGGAGACTGATCGTCGTCGGCATACTTGTGCTCCAATCTGGCGTTACTTGTCGGCCCTTTGGGTCAGCACAGACATGACCTTCAGTCAGGGGTCTGTGCACCTGAAACCCTTGAAGAAGACTGGGCGTGTGGAGGCTTAACGTTTCATCCGACATCTCCACGCCAGGGCGCTGTTAACAACAGCTTACTCCAGGAACGACTTGGTTTACCCACGGCTTTTAAAACGGGGCTCTGCTGAGTAAACTGCGATATTTAGGATCTAGTTATGAAGCTGTTCGCAGATCAAATCTAAAGTTGCAAGCTTGCATGGGGCTGAAGCTTTTTTGAATTGTTCGGAAACGGCTAGCCGCGGCTATTCATGTCAAGACCGCCGGATCTGAGTTCCGAGGCCTTCTGCACCAACACAGATGCCGAGCCAGATCGGGTTTGGAACATCACCGAAGGCCTGCGGCGGCCTGCGGCAAGACTGGGAATACGCACAGGGTCGTGGTTTCAATGTGTCAGAGGGCAGATTCGGAGTGGGCCATTGCCTGCAAGCGCCGCAGTGCACTCGCAACCTCAAGCTATGGGATAATGCCTCGTCTTGAGAATCATGGTCACTTGCTTCCTTGGAAGAATTAGGCTCATGGCAAACTCTGATCACTACATGACGGCTCCTGCTTGGTGCACTGCCAGACTGGCTGCACGCGCGTGGGCTGGCTCTGCACCCAGAATGGGGCAGACAGGTGTCTGTTGTTTCGGAAGTGAGATGCGGAAAGTGATCTCACAAGTTGGTTCTCCTGAACTGCCCACTGCACGTGACAGCACACACATGTAGTTTCACTCACCGGCATGGATTCTGGTTTCGTGTCTGGTGTCGGGCTGCTCTACTGTTGTCAAGCGTGCCCTCTGTGACCCTGCATTCCAGGTGTGTTCCCATCTTGTTGCCTTACCCACGTGGCAGGAGTCTAAAGAAGAGGACATGGGCCGGGTAATCGGCTTGTCTAGCCTTTGTGTGCTTCCGTGTTTGCTCGGATCCCGGAGTCTCCCTGGAAAAGCAACTGGCAGATATTCAGTCGCAAGCAGAACCCAGCACCTCACATTGTCACATCTCGTTACGCCAAGCCTAAGTCTGCGAGAAAAGCGGGGTCGCCTTCTTCAGCTGTCAAGCTGCATTGGTCTCCCTCACCGCAATCATGCTAGCAACACAGAAGACTTTGCATTGAGATCCGTTTCAAGTCGGGAGTTTCCGCAGAGTACTGTACCTATCGGCTAAAAAGACACAGAGAACGAGGCAGGAATTGAAAGTCTTCAGCGGCTCGAAGGGACGTGCCTCAGGCCACTGGAGACGAGCGAGAGCTTCTTGCTCACATAGGCGCAGAGGGCGGGCAGAAGAGGAAGAGGGCATGCTTGCGATATCTTGCAATATCTTGCCATATGGGTGTGCAGATTCGGGCGAGGGTCTCAGACTGCTGCAACTTCCACACATTGAAGACCTCGGGGCCGCGGGTATAAATACATTTCAATTTCTGGGTTCCAGCTCACGCCTTGTATGTTGCACCCAGAAAATGAAAGAAGCATACGCTCGGGCTGGTTTCTCTAATTTTGTACGGTCTGCCTTTGGAGTGTCGAAGGTCCCGATTGCAGAGTAAGAGAGAGAGACAAGGAGAACGACCAGGGTTTTCGTAGTTTTTTTGTGCTGTGTTGCGGGCGTGTGATTGAAAGTTTGCTGCCTTCTGGACGAGCTTTTGAGCCCCAGCAACCTTCCGGGCGAGCCTCCGGGCCCCAGTCCACGGATAGTTGTTAGAGACGCTCGGAATTGAAACTTTCAGGGTCCATCCCCTCCATAGGTTAAGCCATGGAGGATCTCGTGTTTGCTTTACGCAAAACTGCAGTCCATCTGCTAACATCCATCGTTACAGTCCATCGATCCGAGCTGCGTTGTCTCGGTTTTTGGACTGTGAAGATGCATGTTGTTCGTGAGCATTGTGCGGCCGCGAGTCTTGGGCATGCCTGAGCCTTTCAACCCCCTCAGCTAAGATCCAAAGCAGCTTTGTCGTGTTCCAGAAGACTTCAAACACAGAACTCTAAAACCACCTGCGGACGACTGGCCTCCGGCTCTATGCCGCAGGGCTACACGAGCAACGAAGCTTGGCAGTCCAGCGATTTCTTTCGTTTGAGTTTGCACTTGGAAGCATCAACTTCCTGGATGTTGGATAAGGCAATAAGGCAAGCGTTGTGTTAGGGCGGGAGCTGTTGAGGAAGGGGGCGAAGCCAAAGCGCCTTCCGTGGACCTCTCTGCTCTCCGGAGCCTGCGCGATGCAGCGCCCGGGCATCCTTCAGCAATGCAAACCCGAAGTCGCGCAAAGAAAGCCTTGAGGTGCGGGCGGGACCCGGCATTCGCTGGGATTTTGCAGCGGGCTGTGCCCAACCTGGTCGGCGCTGGCACGAGACTGGGCTTCTTTGTGCACTTGGAAGGTCTTCGACCATCCTGCATACCAGCGTGAAATCTCTGGTGGACCAAGGACAAGGCACCAGAGACTGTTGCGGCAGCACTGTGCCGAGATGCCACACCGGCAGAGCTCGATGCGTGCCGGCAGGCCTCGCGTATTGACTTGGCACCTTGGCTGTGAAACGGCCGCACATGGTGTCGTCTTTGACCGTGTCCAGCCTGAGGTGTCGCCGGTTCCGAGCACAGAGCGGCCGACGGCCCTGTGCATCGTCGGGCCTAGCGGTGCCGGGAAGTCCATGGTCCTACCCAAGGCACACAGCACAGGGCGGCGGACGGGGCCTGCGGAGCATTAACTGAGCATGAAAGGCAGCGCCTGCAGAGGCCACACAGCTCTTCGGGATAGATTTGTCCACCTTCGCCGAGGCCGGGGGGTCCTTGGTCTCAGCCGTCAGTGTGTGTAGTGCCAGAGGTCCGTGCGGCTGGAGTGCTTGCAGGTCGACGGTGACACCATGCGCGGCTGCCACGATGCATGGAAGAGTTGCGTCGTGGGAGATAAGCAGAATGGCTATCTGGACGCCTACGACATCTACATCACCAACAAAAAGACCGTTGTCTCGAGTTGAGCAGCGTTTTCCAATGTCATGGATGTACCTACTACTTACCTTACTGCCATGCCATAGGGAGCCTGGCCTGCTCTAGGTGAAAGGAACACACCATGTCCTGCACCCGACTATGATGCCACCAAAATGCGTTTCACGTTCGCTCCAGTTCCAGGAACAAGGGCCTCAAAGTCCAATTCCTGAGGGAGCTGGTGCAATCTCGCAAAAACGTCATTTACCCGGACACGCATGTCAAGGAGGAGGACCTGGCGCTGATGAAGGACCTGCCTGGGAACGAGGTTGCAGTTTCTGGCGGCGTGGCATGGAATGCTTGAGGCGGATTATCTTTAATAAGGGCTGGGCTTCGATCTGCCCGGCATCCCTAGATTGGCCTAGATTCCCTCTCCAGTTCTCGGTGTGGATCATATGTGCAATGTGGCCATTGGCAAGTGGTGCGATTGGGGAGGCTTCCTGCAGCCTTCCACCTAGGACCTAGGAGCACCAACGACGGCCAACGAGGCTGCAGTAACCTGCGGGCCCGCGAATCTTGAGAGCAGAGGAGCAAGGCTACCACGTCTGCACTCTGGCCCTGCTCGTCTCGTGTGCCGAGTCGGACTGCCGGCAAAGGAAGCTTGGGTCTGACAGCTGACGGAAGTCTTTTGGATGACATCACACAGCTCTGGAGCGATAAATTTCATGACTCCCCCTTGGCTCCCTCCATGGCTGTGCCTGTGAAAGGAATCGTGCAGAATCCAATGGTCGGTGGTCGAGCACCCCTGAGAAGTGGCTGGCCCGCAATCACACTCTGAAGTCTGTCCATCGCATCATGGTCCCTGCGGGTTTGGGTCTTTGAGACTTGAGGCGTAGGGCGAACGTGTTTCATCGTCAGATTTTCATCTTGCAAGGATGAGCCTGATGAAAGGAGTTAGCCGAGTTGTATTCAATTTCGGTGAAGCTTATGGCTTATAGCAGGCCATGAGGGTTTTGCAAGTGCCTGGTTGGAGAGGTTGCATGTGGGCGTACCGCGGACAGAAACACTTACACTTACACGGTATCACCCCAAGAGCATACGACAATGAACATTTCTGCTGGCCTGATCATCAATCAACCCACAGCAGTCAGGAAATGGCTGGTGACAATGCGTGACGCCCTTCGGACGGCAAATTGGCCCATCGGAATTCCTGAGTCCTAAAACAACGATCCCTCTACCTTCAATCAATCTCCAGCTCCACTGCAGGTCTTGAAGATGTGCGAAGTGGGCAACTCGGACAAAGCTCTGGCCTACGACAGCACGGATGTCCTGAACCCGACCCTGGCGCACACTCTGGGACGAGTCGGGTTTCTTGAAGATTCCAATCTAGGCATTGCCTTGTTGGGATTGTTATTGTTTGCCTTCGAAGATCGATGTGCGAGAGTGACACACCTGAGACCCCAAGTCTGGTTCCTTCAGCCCAGCTATACTCTGACAAAGCAACGAGAGGTTTTCAAAGTGTAGAGAGAGCCTTGCCAACCCATCGAAGCCGCAGCCGTCTTGAGACCCTTACAGAGCTCGTGACGCGCGACTCGGAGGTGTATGCCCGCGGCGTTCCCGGTGTGGAGGCCCTGGACCAGCTGGAGGCGGCTTTCGAAAACCTGAAGGCGCACTCAAGTGGGTCTGAGTCGGTTCTTCAGGATCAGACTGTTCAGAGCCGGTAGGATAGGCATACACCCTGTACCAAGCTTTTTTAGGGTTTAGGGTTGCGCGATTTGCTCGGACCCGAACAGGACCCATGACACACCCGATTGACCTTTGCAAAGACGTGAGACACTGTCGAAGTCTGTTTCTGGTTTGGAGGCTGACAACTGCTGGAAGGCAGCCCGTACCGACGGACATGCCTGGTGCGAGTGCTTGAGCCCCTGGCCTTTTCCAGTACAGATGTTCACGCCCCCTAAACTCCGCTGCGACGGAGCCATTCTAGAGCTGTTCATCCTAAAGGTTCAGGGATACAGCTTCAGGCCTGGTGGGCATCTACAAGCGACCCCATGGCGAAGATGTGCAAATCACGGTCTCCGACCCCTGCAAGGAGGCCTGTTCCCCTGATTCGACCGAAAAAAATTAAAATAGAGTGAAGGTAGAGGATGTCGGCCAAAGGCGACCGCTACCCAGACCCAGCTTAGCATCTCGTAGCATCCCTGAATTCGTCCTCAAAGGATCCGGAGTCTTCCGCTGACCGGAGCGCGAAATGAGAAGCGTGGAGGTTGAAGCATGCAAAGACTTCAACTCTGAGCCAGCTTGGAAGCTCCGCACGCAGAACCAAATATGTTCCCACTGCCAGGTCTCGAGCGTAGAAATCGAGCCGCCAGTGGACGGCTTCAGCTGCCTCTTCTCAGTGAAGAGCTGTGCGCTGCACTTGCCGGGTCCCATGGTCGTTTTTTCAAGGGAGAGGGAGAGGTGCTTTGTCTGGGGGACTTGGTTTTTGGGGTTTGGGGGGCTCACAGGGCCGGGGGCCATTTACTGTATCTTTCACTTCAGCTGTTTGCGCCAGTAGGAGGGCTTTAGATCTTTCGGTGTGTCCATAGTCCATAGCCAACCCGCAGGACATACGTTTACCATCAAGTCCTCTCAGAGCCCAGGTGAAAATGGCAAGTTGGGCCCTGAGGTGGCCCGTTTTGAGGTGGTGTCTCAAACGCTAAGGCGGGAGTGGGGGTTGGGTCTTTCGGTCCCTGGCATTGACGGCACCTGCCTGGAGACGGAGTCCGTTTGTGACGGTGTCGTGTTCACTGAGCGACCATCACTGAGTGCTCGCAAAAAAGTTCTACACCAAATCGCTCGGCTCGCGTCCAGATTGAAACAGCCTTTCATCTCTGGGAGGTGGACTCCCAGCTCTCCCTTCGGCGACAACCTTTGGGTGCCTCGCTAGCAACCCCCGGAGGGCCTACATCGCTGCATCGAAACCAATCAATGCTTGCAAGTCGTTGTTGGTCTTCAACTGCTGAGCTTTTGCCCAACCTTGCTTCGCTTCTCTCACTCTCTCACTCTCTCTCTCTCTCTCTCTCTCTCTCTCTCTGTCTTCTCCCTCTCTGAGCATAAATTGATTGTTGTGGACTGAAACGCAGGTTTAGGTTCTCGTCCTCGAAGAGCCCCACTGCAACGGATCCCGAGTCGTCGTAGTCAGTCCGGTCCTTGTTTTGCCAGCATGCTAAACTGTCTCATGCGCGAGACAGCAGCTGTAGAACGAACGTTCCGTAGCTTTGCCGCGCGACCGGTCTTGTGAGTTTCATTTGGCGGCACGGCCAGTTTGAGAAGGCGGACACATCTTATCCGACTCACCCAGCATCCGATGT